ACTTCATTTGATTTTCATATTTCCATCTCTAGGACACCTATAATCTCTTTAATTATTATTTGATAAACACTTTTCCCACAATAATTGATACACCCATTCAGTGATTTGTACATTTCTGATTTTCAAGTATATTCATATCTTTTGCTAAAGTGTTACATTAATCAAACGTACTTAGAGTTACTTTCTCTCATTTGATATAAGCAAAGAGATAGGCCTTTTATTAAGCATGCAGCTTTGTATATAGTCATTTGTTATTGTAAAATCTAACTTTTTCCACTTAGTTCAAAATATCATCCCACACAGATAAATTGCATAAAAATGTGTATTAATAATCTATTTGCACCAGGTTGCTTTCTATTTCAGGATATTGTATTTTGTCATTTGATTTTTTTCTTATTTTGCAACTCAGCTTAATTAAATCAGCTTAGGCCCTGACTGGATTAAGATAATCCCCCACTCTGCCCAGTAGGGGAAAGGGTCAAGCCCTTTGTGTAGAAGGTTATCATCATCCAGAGCCTCTACAATCTGTCATACACAATGTTCAGCATTTAACAAAAAATTACCAGGCACGCCAGCAGAGTGGACCAAACGACCAGAAAGCAAGGGGGCTGGGGGTAAAAGACAATAGAAAGAGAGCTGTAGAAAATCTAAATCATGGAGTTATCAGAGAAGAACTTTCAAGTAACTGATTTATTAGTCCAAGAAAAATAGAGAAAACAAAAGATAAATTCCTCAGAGAATTAAAATCCTTTAAAAAGAGATGAATGGATATTTTAGAACTGAAAAATATAACAAATGAAATTAAGAGTTTGATAGATGGGTTTAGCAGTGGAAGAGATAAAATGAATTGCAAGACAGATCGACAAAATATTTAGACTGAATCATAAGGGGAAAAAAGCATGAGAGACACAAAAGAGAGAGTAGGAGATAGATGGAACACAGTGAAAAGTTCTAACATCCAGATTATTGGAAGACAGCTATGTATTTATACGAAAATACAGCACAGATATAAAAAATGTGAAAGACAGGTTAGGAGACAGGGACAGCATGCTATGATCTAACTTACATTTAGTCAGAGTTCCAAAAGTAACACAGACAATACTGAAAAAGAAAATGGTTTTAAAATTTTCTAAAACTGATTAAAGATACCATTGTACAGATTCAAGAAGCCCAAAAAAATCTCAAACAGGAAAAAGAAAACCACAAACAAGCCACCTAGGGTGCCAGTCATATTTCTGCTGTTTCTCAGTTCCTTTCAGTTTACTCCGTTACGCCGGAGCTGCAACTCCACAGACTACATTTCCCAGATTCCCGCACCGGCGGCTTCCTGTGAGGTTCTGTCAACGGAAGCCACTAGAGGGAAACGAGATGCCAGCAGGCTGCCGCTGCCCTAGACCCGGAGGTTTTTTTAAATACGAGACAGTGCTGTATAATAAGCCCCTGAGATTTAGAGGTTATTCCTGTGGCAAAGCTTATCTTATCCTAATAAAATATGCAAAAAAATTAAAAGTAGACCCTTACAATTCATACCATATACAAAGATAAAACTAAAAGACAAAGACTATATAGTTTTCAGAAGAGAACACAGGAAATGTCTTCATGATCTTGAAGTGTAGAAGGATTTCTTAAATAAGACATAAGAAGCATAAATAAAAAAGAAAAAGCTTGATAAATTTTACATAAAAATTAAGAACTTATTTATGAAAACTAAGAGTGAAAAGACAAACCACAAAACAGAATACATTTGCAAAACATATAACCAATAAAGAGCTTGTGCCCATAATATATTAAAAATTCCTAATAATCAGTGAGAAAGACTTGAAGAAAAAACCTAGTAACTAATGAACATATAAAAAGGTGTTCGACATCATCAATAACGTTAAAATAGATAACATTATACACGTGCTCAGGAAGAGCTGCTATAACAAAATACCATATAGTGAGTTAACAAAAACATTTATTCTCACGGTTCTGGAGACTGGGAAGTCCGAAATCAAGGTGCTGGCAGATCGATGTCTGGTGAGAGCTCACCTCCCGGTTCACAGACAGGTATCTTCTTGCTGTGTGTTCACCCGGCAGGAAGAGGGCCAGAGAGTCTCTGGGTCTCTTTCATAAGGGCAGTCATCCCATTTATGAGGACTGCATCCTCATGACCTAATCACCTACAAAAGCCCCCACATCCTAATACCGTCACAGTGGGATTAGGATTTCAGCATATAAATCAGGGGGTCGGGGAGACACACGTATTTTGCTGAAATGCAAAAGTATAATACCAGATATTGGAGGTGAGGGTAACAAGAACTTTCATTTACTCCTGGTAAGAACATGTACAGCCACTCTGAAATACATTAAATGATAAAGCGAAAGACTCACCTACTAAGATTCCACATTTCCACTCCTAGATACAGATCCCGCAGAAATATGTGTCGTGTGTACCAGGCATCGTGTATAAGAATGTTTATCACAGCATTGTTCAAAACATACAAAGACTGACGCCAACTCCAACGTCTATCAACAGTATACTGGCAGAATTCTTGTACAGTCGTACTGTATACAACAAAACTGAACGAACTATAAAAATTAAACGACAGCTACGCAGCAACGACACGGATAAATCTTAAAAATAATGTTGAACAAAAGAAGTCGCACACCCAAAAACACATACTCTGATTGCATTAGTAAAAAGTTCAGGCCGGGCATGGTGGCTCACGCCTGTAATCCTAGCACTCTGGGAGGCCGAGGCGGGTGGATTGTTTGAACTCAGGAATTTAAGGTTGCTGTGAGCCTGAGCAAGAACGAGACCCCGTCTCTACTAAAAACAGAAAGAAATTGATCAGACAACTAAAAATATATAGAAAAAATTAGCCAGGCATGGTGGCACATGCCTGTAGTCCCAGCTACTTGGGAGGCTGAGGCAGAAGGATTGCTTGAGCCCAGGAATTTGAGGTTGCTGTGAGCTAGGCTGACGCCACGGCACTCTAGCTGGGGCAAAAGAGTGAGACTCTGTCTAAAAAAAAAAAAAAAGTTCAAAATCAGGGAAAAGAGAACAACTTATTTAGGGATTTAATCACAGGTGGTGAAACTACAAAGAAGAGCAAAGAACGCCCGCCGTAGATCACTAGACGACGGTCACCTCCCAAGTGCTGGGGGCCGGGAAGGAGACGTGATACCGGAGGGCCTCACAGGGGCTCCTGAGGTATTGATTTGAAAACGTTCTCTTGTCTGACCTGGGCGGTGATGGCACAGGTGTTCCTGCTCACCTCCGTATCCTTTAAAGTGTGCATCTATGTATCACGAACAATTCTGTGAGCATATCTCAGATTATAAACAGCATTACCAAGTACAGCAGCATCACCATCGTACATGCTCTCTCTGTTCCCTGGGAGACAAGGAGAGACTGTTTTCCCCACTTTCCAGAAAAGTGAAGCCTGGAAGAGACACAAGTGTTGAAACCACGTCTAGAATCCAAGGCTAGAGTTTTGCCACTAAAGCATTCACTATCCAGACTCTGCCTACACAGAGGCAATGCACAGGAAATGATGAATTTGGTAAAAACTCCCAGTCTTAAAAAATACGCCAAATAAGGCTCTTTAAGGCTTCTGGCAGGGACATTTTATTTTTTGGTTAAAGCCACAATTAATAGAAATGCCGTAAAAACAAACATGTAAACAAGGCATCAGCACTTTGGTTCACGGGAACATCTCACACCTAAACATCTGAGGTACAAAGGCACCTGGCCAGGTGCAGCACAGCCCCGCTCCGCTGCGGCCGCTCAGACCCCAGCCTCCGGGCCAGGGGTGGCACAGGCTGACCGGAGGGGCTGGGACCCTGCTCACGCAGGACCTGCCCCGGTACAGCCCCCTCCGCTCCAAACACCGACTCCTCCGAAGACACGCCTGAGAACTGGAACATACAAAGGTGTCTGTCACGCTGAACTTGACAAGGACGTGGGCGGTGGGGCCAGGAAGGGGAAGGACAGAAAGGGACGTCAGTCAACTTCCGTTGATCCACAAGGTCTCAGGAACTCCTGTCCTCGTTCGTGGAACCACTTGTTGGAGACTGTGAACAGAAAGCAAGTACGTTAGCATCTCATTGGTCAGTTCGGCAGCCAAAATGAATGACTCTTTCATGGGACCCCAGGTCGTGCCCTGGGAATCAGACAAGGGTAAGACACGGTCTCAGGCCTCAAGCTGCTCATGAATCTGGTGAGAAGGATGCATGTGTAAACAGATTATTGTACAAAATTCTGCCAGTGACACGAGATACCTGTGTGCCGGTTGCCATGGGAATGGAGCATCTAACCACGTGAGGGAAGAGGGAATCCCAGGGCGAGGATATAAAGCTGAACAGAAGTTATCCTGGGAAGGAGACGGACACACCAGATGGTCCCTCACCAACAGGGTACCAGGAAGTGGGACAGGATGGGAAAGTCAAGGCAGGAAGCACCTAGCGTGTGTCAAGGGTCTCGAGAAGCCTGGCATTGCTGGGAGGCGGCAGGTGGGAACGAGAGGCAGGTGTGAGGACGCGGTCGGCACTGCGCAGGGCTTGGACGTCAACCTCAGGTGCTGCGGGCACGAGAGCAGCAGAGCTGGTGCCAGCACTGTCTGTCCCCTAAGGCCATGTCCTCAAACACACAGGAACCATGATCCCACTCATCAAACACACTCTCCCATAATGAATAAAAAATGTATTCCAATGCACTACTGAAGTCATGCAGCTTTTTAAAATATAATTTAACTTACAGAAACATACACACTTCATTGAAAAAATCAGATGTCTACAAGGCTGATAATGATAAATAGCAATCGTCTAAATCTTCCCACCACCAGTCCCTATTCCCAGAGAACATTCAGCTCAGCTGTTCCTTCTGATGGTTAACCTCATTTTTCTAGATGACATGCTCACAGTTCTATTTCTTGACTTCCAACTTTGGAATTCTTTTATTCTACCCCGAAAATACATACTTATCCCCTCCCATCTTCCCAATATAGTTAAGTCACAAGTTTGGGTTAAATTAACAGTCAGGGTTTACATTATTATGCCACGTGTTACCCCTGAGCCATCTAGTAGGTTCTATTTACCTTTTCTTTCTTGTACAACGTTTTTTCCCTGAAGTTGGCAACTGCCTCGTTTTCTTTTTCATTTGCTTAATTTTCTGTGAACCTAGAGCTATGTATCCCCAACGCGCTCCTAGAGGGCTGCACGCTCGTCTCTTGGCAGTCACCTCCCGGCTCAGGACTCTCCATGGTTCACCAAGCTGCCCCCAGGATGAGACTCGAGCTTCAGCCTCTGTGGTTTGGTCCCAGCCTCATCTCCCTGTGCCACCAGCCTCCCCGTCTTTAAGTGACAAGGACAGCCAGCTATCACACCCACGATGCTGGCATCAGCCCGTGCCTCGTTCTACGTAGGCCTCGACCGCCTGGGACATTCCTTCCCTCCCTGCTTGCAGCTCCCCCTGCCCCTCAGAACCCTCGCCAGAGCCCACCGCTCTGAGCCACCCTGGACCTGCGGTGCTTGTACAGCTGCTCTTCCTCAGGGCATCTGAGTGTTCCCAACCAGCTGTCTTGTCACGTAACCAGCTGAATGGACAGCTACGCTACCCCTTAGGAGGGAAAAACCTCAGAAGGGAGACGGTCTTGGCTTTGTGCAAATTTGGCAGCTGTCCTCTCCCAGCTCAGAGTCTAAAGCCAACTATCAAAGCCCAGGCTGAGGCCACCCAGGCCCATGTCAGCCCCTGAGCCACTTACCCCACTTGCAGCCCACAAGCACAGGGCAGGCGGCGTGTCTTGTCCGGTAGTCGCCTTCCCCACTCCGCAGGAGGTTGTACCAGAAGACAGCTGTACCCTGGGAAAGAGACAGACTGTCAGAGCACGTTCTTGGAGACTAGTGCTTGGGACCTGACCCCAGTACTACAGAACCCCCACCCTGAGCAGAGTCACCCTCACTTCCCCACATACAGGGCCACAGGGCTCTGGGACTCCAGCAAGAGAGGGTCCCCAGAAAGCACCTGCCTTTCACGGTGGGATGGATGACTGGAAACCCACCTGCCCAGGAAGGGCTTCCCTCCCCATCCCTTCTCCCCAGCTAGAAGCTGGGACCACAAAGTCAGAGCCCGGGTGGGAAGGGGCTAAGGCACATGACGGCGACAGTCAAGCAGGTCGGGGAACAGGACTGGGGACGTGGATAAGGCTGAGACCTGCTTCAATCTCTGACCCACACGAATCGGAACTTACCTTCTTGGGCCAAATTGCAGCCCCCAGATCAGGGAAGACGGTGGCACCCCCAGCTTCTACATCGCTCATCTGGGAACATAAGACATAGAGCTTGGCCCTTCTCCCAAGGCTCTGAGCAACTGAGCCACAAAGGACGTGACCAGGCGTACAGGTCACCCTCCTGTGCGCACGGGTGACGCTGCCTGGAGGCTCTGCTCCAGGTCTGGCCCCTCAGTAAAGAAAGGCTCTTCCCACACCTGCTTGGTTCACTGGGACAGCCCCCACATCGTGGGCACTCAGGAGCTGAAGCCTGCAGGAGACCCACATCCGGGCCGTCCTTGGACTGGAACAACCTGAATCTGTGCCCAGAAAATGCCTGTGACCCCCACCCCTGGAGTCCCCCCAGCCTGGGCCTTCCCTAAGCCACTGTGCCCAGCGAACGGCCCGGACCCGCGGCTCCTGACTGCTCCTGGCGCCGCATGTGGCCCTGGTTAGGGCTGTGTCTCTGGCCCTGGTAGCTGTCCCTCTAGTCAGACCCTCCCCTTCCCGGGACAGCCACCCTCCCAGGGGCCACCTGCGTGGGCGGGGGGGGGGGGGCTCCGGGGCTCCGCTTCCTCCCATGGTGAGGCCTTAAACGAAACGGAACACATTCCGCAGCGGCAGGGCTCAGTCATGCGGCGCCCCATGCCCACAGCACCGCTCCGCTCCCATCCAGCTCTCTCACTTCACACTTTTTGTCCATAATGCAATAAAAATTGGAGCTAAAAAATATTTCCACAGGACACATACCAGACGGACTGAAGGGTACTCAACAGACATACGGTAAATACATTTTTTTAAAAATCCTCTGATGGCTTCCCACAGCCCTGGGGAGCAAACCCGGACTCTCGTCCTGAACCCCAGTCCCCGTCAGTGTCACCAGCCTCGACCTGCAGACACACCAGCCTTTTCCTATTTCTCCAACACACCAAGCTCCTCGTCTCTTACAGACTACACGCTCTCTCCTCTGCCAGAAACTGCGGTCCACCAGCTACTTTCCGCTCAGTCTTCAAGTCTCCACTGAAACGCTGCTTCCCAAGGGAGACCGCCTCTGAACTCCAAGCCTGGGCTACTTCTTCTAGCACCTGTCTCCATGACAACTAAATAATCCTCTGTCCTGTTTAAAGTCAGTCTCCCATGGTAGACTCCAAGCACCACAGAGAGACAGCACACGTCCTGCTCACCAGGATGTCCACAGCGCACGACAGCCCACAACGGAAACTTAAACGGAAAAACGGACGTGGCTCTGCCTCTCCGTTGCTTGACGGCCTGTGCCTCTTTGGAGCTGCTCTCTCGGCAGAGGGGGAGGAAGCTGCTCCTCGTGCGAAAGGTAAACCCAGCGGCCCACGGACGGAGCAGAGGCAGCAGGCAGGACGCGGCCACCAAGCCTCGAGGCAAACGAAGGCAGCGCTCACAGACGAGGGAGCCAAGACCAGCTCCTTGCTCTGCTGCCAAGGAGGGAACCCTCCAGGTGCCCATCCCCAAAGTCCAGGCTCATCCGAAAGGAGCCAGAAAGCGCCGCCGCATGGATGGAACCTGAGGACGTGCGTGCCAGCCACGGAAAGGCAAGTGCTCCGTGATCCTACCCGTGAGTGTGCGTGATGTGAGGAATCAAAGCCATGGAGACAGAAAGCAGGAGGGTGGTTGCCAAGGGCTGGGGGAGGGGATCTGGGATTGCTGGTCAGTGAGGAGAGAGTTTCAGTTCTGCAAGACGAAAAGTGATGGAAGTGGGTGTCGGTGATGCTTGCCCATCCTGAATGTATTTATGCCACTAAACTGTACACTTAAAAATGGTTAAGATGGTAAATTTTATGTTATGTGTATTTCACCACAATTTTTAAAATTGGCCAAAAAACAACAGAGCCAGGGAAGTCCTGGTGGGGTGTGGGGACCCCAGGAAAGGAAACAGACGCCAACTCACTCTTCTCCAGCCAGGACGTGTGCCGGGGCCAGAAGAACCTGGGAACCTGGCCCTCACCCAGCAGCTGGTGGGCACCAGCCCTGACGGGGGTGGGATCTAAGCCCCCTGGACCCGGGTCCCCAGGGCCCAACAGCACACATCATACTCACGTAGTTTAAGAATGTGGCCACACGATTCCCCGTCCCTAAACGCTTGAAAGCATCTCGCTCATGGTTCTATAAAATTAAGCGAGAGTGAACAGGCGGGCCCGGACCCAATACTTACGTAGTTTAGAAACGTCGCTAACCTATTCCCCTCCGTTTTCAGGCCGCTGTCAAAAGGTCGCTGCAACAGACAACAACTCTCACCCAAGTCTGCAACCAACTTCACCCGCCACCCCCGGACCAGGGCCAAAGGGTCGGGGCAGGTAGTAAGGGCGTTCCATAAACCAGCCTGCGTCCGGGCTGCCGGAGGGAACTCTGGCCGGGGCCTGGGGGTGGCAGGGAAGAGGAAAGGGGAGCAGGACAATTTTCACAGAGACCCGGTGAGGCCCTCTGCTTGAGAATCAGGGCAAAGAAGGACAGGGTCAGGGCAGGGGGAGAGTCAAGCTCCGCTGGGCTTCGCAGGCCCTGGGTTCCAAGCTTGGGCTTTGTGGGCAGGAGTCCCCCCTGGCGAGCCGGAGTCGGCGCAGGACTGGGGGACGGGCGTGGGGAGGGGGTGAGGGAATTGCTGATACTGAGGCTGGAGTGCTCCAGAAGCTCCAGCCTTCTCAGGGCCCTTTGAAAGTACCCACGATTCACCCCTTACCCTGGAGAAGTCAAAGTGTGGCTCGTACTGTCCTCCCATTCCGTAATTAGCAACCTGGTGGGAAATAACAGCGTCGGACCTTGTCAGCAGCGTGCCCAGCCCTGCGGCGGCCCAGCTCTCCAGGGAAACCACCTCCCAGGCCTGACAACAACCAGAACTCCCGGGGGCGGCCTCTCCGAGTTGGAGGATGACCACGCCCTCCCAGCACAGGCACAGCCAACGTTCCCAGACGTGTCTGCAGCTGTGAGCACAAGTCGGGCTGCGGCACAAACGAAGTTCTCCTAAGAGAACAGGACGGGCGAACTGCAGACGGTCCCTGCAGGAGGCTCTGGCCCGTCACCGACACTCACTTAGATGGCAGCAGAGGGACCCAGCCCTTCCCCTGGCAGGCCCTCACCTGCGCCCTCTGTGGGAGACAGCAATAATACGGTAATCCAGACGAGAGTCTATGACATACTCAAAACCGGGTGAGTTTTTTAGCACGAGTTATGGAGCTACCAACACCTGGCAGTGCTACTGGCCCCTCTGCCTGCGTGGGGCACTCCTGCATCCAAGGAAGCAGCAGGACGTGGGTGGCTGAGAATCTCTGCACTAACGTGAGCACCCCAGCGTGAGCCTGGACCTGCAGTGAGACCTGAGCCACCGCAGCTACAGCAGCTACCGGGTGTCATTCGCTGGATTACAAACTACAAATGCCTTTGTGAAAAGACTGCCTGCACAATGTCAAGTCCTAAATCACGACGACTACTTTAACTTCGGTAGATGGAATGAGACACGAGGCTCAAGACGAGGCGCGGAATCTGATGTGGAAGTTGGATGATCACACGTCGCCACCAATGTCCACCTGGGAACAACAGGCTCTTGTTTCTTACTGAAACCACAGAAACTTCCAGGCTTAGCCATTAGTTCTCAGAAAGTTTATATTTTTTATATATTCTTTTTGGCAATTCTAACAGGTGAGAAATGCTAAAAAATTGGCAATAGAGACCTACAGAAATAAGGGAGAGAAAGGGAGGGTGGATGTCACAAGAGAGGAAATTCTCCTGCTGGAGCACAAGTTTGGAGTATTTTCCAAATCCAATGAAGTCCAAAACTTGGGCAGTGTGATTTTCAGCGTCTACAAAAATAAAAACTTTGATATGAAGAATCAGTGGATGAAAACATGCTGTCACCCACTGCTTCAGACTTTAAGATTCCTGCACCAAAAATACCTGGAAATCCCGTCAACAGCGCAGGGCCTGGGTGCACAGGTGGCCCTGAGGCTGGAGGTTTGTCTAAGCAGGGGCACCAACGGCTAGAGCAGTTGACAAAGTGCTGTGACAAATGCTTTTACAGATACGACTTTTCTTTGGATCCATTCTAGTCGAGAACTTACAATTTTAAACAAGACTGTGACTACTAAACCAAAGCACGCAGAAAAATCTGATCGCTGCTGGTTGCTGGAGCTGCAAAGTATGACTGCACTTTCTGATACTTCCACCTGCGGGATGGAGGGTTTAAACTGGCAGATCCCAGGGAGTGAAGGAAGTCACACTGCTGTAGCTGGCTCAGCTTTTAACAGTTGTGAGAATTGTATTTGGTCACGGTGCAGAAGCCACTGTACGGACACTCTTTAATACTGTCTCCGAGTAAGTGCTAAATACAAAGTCACAGTCACATCTGGATTTGCCGCAGCAGGATTCACTATCCAGGCATACCGACGTCCCCAGACCCACAGCTTTAGCAACAAGCAACCGTACGTCAAACTGAGTCCTTCCAAAAGGTGTTCACTTCGATCTTTAGACTTGTTACAAGATTCAGTCATTTGAAAGACATAGGTTTTCATGACACTAAAGCCAGAGTGAAGGCAAAAAAAACAACCAAACCAACCAACCAAAAAACTAGATTAGAAATCACTTTTCTGGTGAGCCTGAGACATCACTGAGCCAGAAGTCTTCAGTGTTACAGAATCTACAGGTGAAGCATCTCTTCCTCTATCAGACAGGCCTCCGTCCAATTCACCAGAAAGCCTAGACTGTGCTTTTCTTCTGAGTGGTCTACAGCAAACATACCAACTACAGCTGAAAGCGTGTTGACAGGCAGAAGAACCAGCTCCGTTCCAGAAGCCACGAGCATTTCCAAAGGGACGCTGGAGTGAGAGCTGCTGCTGGTGCCTACACATCTGTCACACTGCGAGTGTCTATGCGGAGTGAGCACTCAGGGACAGATGCTGAAACCCAGGTTCCTGCTCCCTAGATCATGAAGGATCAAAGCTTTCAACACTGCGGTCTGGCAGAGGAAATGCCACGACAGTCCCTAGAAGAAAAATGCAAACAAAAATGGCATCTCGGCCACGTGGCAGCTGTGGTCTGGATCTTCCAGAAAAGCCCCGGCTACGGGAGCCCCTCCACGAGCGGTGTGGCTTTCACACTCCAGTCAGCTGAGCTGCAAGAAGCTGCTGTCTTCCTCGGCTGAGTGTGAGACGGGGCGGAGAGAGTGCGCTAGGAGGCTAGCCAGGGCTGCCTGCTCGGCCCCTTGCTCCAGGGTTCGAGACCACCTAGACCGCTGGCCTTGATCGGGGCCGAGGGAGCCGGAACACCAGCTCTGATGTGGAGGAAGCAGTGGCAGATGTCTTTTTTTTTTTAAAAAAAAAAAAAAGCAACAGAAACCCTGCTCCAAGAAGATATGAGTCAGGATAATGCCAACAGGGATGTGTCTAGGCCCTGTCATCCCTGAGAGGCTGGTGCTCTCCTACACACGAGCGAGCGGGAGATGTGGCAGAAGTCCTCTGGATGTGCTCACTCTGCAGAACTTCCTTAAAAATTACAGAATGCAGAGTTGAACTGAAAAAAATTATATACAATTTTCACAATACTATTTGCAAAGTAATCAGCATGGTTTTGAAAACTCCGGTGGACTTCACACAAATCCATAAAGATGAGCTCCAAAATTAGTTTTCCTTTTTTTGCTAGATCATGCATCCGCAAACGAAATTGGTTTTCCAGCTGCTGATGCAGCTATGGGGGAAAAAGGTGAGTGCTCATTTGCTTGGGTGTGCTCGGGGTAAAAGTTCAGAGAATCTTTTCCACATGATCTTCCGTCCGAATCCTAGTGAGATCTACGGTTGACCAGACTCAAACGCCAAGCCTAAGGGTGAAGTTGCTACCTTTAAATATGCAGAGACTACGACCAAACAGAGAGATCCAGGGGACTCTACAAAGACACCAGTGCCACTTCCCTGACAGTGTCTCCGGTCATCAACCTGACAACAGAACCCAGAAATTCCAAAGTGCAGAAGGGAGCTTGGCCAGTGCTGATTTGAACTCAATACCCAAGAGGATACGCTATCAAGGGCTTTACCCAGAATCTCTCAGCATGGCGCTACCATGTTTCTTCATAATCGCCTCTGAAGCCAGGGTCCAACAGGAGTGCTCTGACGGGAACATCCCACCTTCACCTGCTCACTGGCCCAGGCCTCTCACTTCCACCAACACACCAATATCACAGCGCTGGGTGCCCCAGTTCCTTGTGCTTCTGTGTCCTGACCAACAATCACAGAGCTGCAGGCTTTTTCCAGCAGGCTTGAACCCAAACCAGGTCCTTGAACATTCCCGGGCGCTGATAAAGGTATCTAGGTTGTTGCCCAGAACACTGGAAGAAACTAGCCCTGCCCCTGAGCCTAATTCCTTAAACCCTCGTGTTATCTCCATGCCCCGACCCCTCCCTGCAGACAGACGTAGGCAGAGCACACTTTTCTCCCACTGTCCTGGTGAGCACTGCTGCGGCACACTCCGTAAGTTCCCCAAATAAATGCTTTGGTCTGTCCCCAGGCGTTCAGTGATCTTTCTCTGGAATCCCAAGTGGCCCCAACTTGGGATGGTTTGGGGCAGTCCCTTGTGGGAACTCCCCTGCCGCCACTTCTGGGGCAACCCCAGGCACGGGTTCAGCGGGACAAATCACACAGAGCACTTGTCTCCAAGCACATTTGTCTGTGACACGGAACCATGACATCCAGACACACTTTTAGCTCTCTGAGAGGTGTCCCTAGAACAATTCGGGATTTGAGTTTCTGCAGTCAAGAAGACACGAATGAGCCTGCCACATTGGTCCCCAGCTCCCAGCACACCTGGGCACAAGTGGATGCTCAGCTGGTATCTGCTGAACATTAACCGTTCAATGCCAGTGGGCACGATGGATTCTGGTTTCCCGACACGTGATCACTCCAAATCCACAGCATCAGGCAATCATGCAACTGATCCGGCCAGCCTGTTCCCAGGCACCTCGGGAGACCGTCTAGCCAGAAATACCCACTTCCCGGCTCTCAGGGTCCCCAGGACGAGACACACCTGCAGCAATTCCGCCGTCTTTACTGACAGCCCGGTGATGTGCTGCATCCGGCGATTGACTCGGGCCACAACAGGGTCGTCGTCCTCCTCCAACCAGGAGCTGGGCCAAAAGAAGAGGAGGAGGAAAGACGATGGGGAGGGCAGGCCTAGACGACGTCCTGCACGCTCACCCCAGAGTCAGGCCGGCACTGGCAGGGAGCACCGCACGAGCACCGCAGGAGGGTGAGGAGGTGCCGGAAGGCGGGACAGGCAGCCCCGGGAAGCCCTGGAGTGGGACCGAGCTCCTCCTCCACCACCAGCACCACCTTTGCATACCTTTTGGAAACCCTGTAGCTGGCGACAGTGAGGACACCTGTCTTGGGGTCACGAACAGTGGCTCGTGCAAGCTGGAAGACAGGAAGAGAGGACAGACTTACCCTTTTTTGCCTCGAGCACTTTTCTGGAGAGCATTGAAACCAGATCTGCTGCCATGTTGGCAGGGAAGAGGCTTTGCAAGCTGTGCCCAGCCAAGGCCGCAGACCCTGCAGACCAGCTCAGGGCAGAAGTCTGCGGCCTCCACCTGCCCACTCCACCATTAGGCCCTGGCTGGCCACTGCCCTGCCAGTCGGCACTCACCCTTCCTCCTGCCCAGGTCTGCGGAGTCTGCTCCGTGCGCCCAAGTGCCTGCCTGGCCAGGCCAGCACCGCCCCCACCTGAGAACAGCCTGAGCCCACCTGCTGCCACCACACTCAGACTGTGCCACCATCCCTGAGCCTCAGGCTTGTGTACTTCTCTCAACTTAGTAAGTGCCACCACCCTTCTGTGTCTCAGTGGCCTTCTCTGCCAAGAAACCCGCTCAAACACTCTGCCGCACAGCCTCACGCTGGGCTCCCACTGCTGCGAGAAATGAAGACAGAAGGCAGTTTTCACTCCCCAGGACCTTCGCAAAGTCAAGACGACAAATCCGAGAGGATTCCACAAGTTGCAACACGTGAACCACTGCCTGGAAGCCACCCACCCCACATACGTGCTTGTGCACACACCCCCTCACCTACCTCACCTGCCCCCGTCTCCGCAGACAGGCTCAGCGACACTCCCAGGAGGGCCCTGCTGCCCCGAGCCAGCCCACGGCAAAGGTTCACGTGCTCACGTGCTGCGGCAGCGACTGGCCTAACAGCCTCCGTGGGTGGAGCCACAGGCCCAGACACTCCTGCCAACAGCACTTCCCCTAAACGTCAATGAATGTCCGATGAGTGCCTGCCAGGGGCCCGGCACGGCTGCATGACTGAGACAGGACCCTCCCTCTACAACTCTGTCAGTAGAGAAAGCAGAAAACCAGCCTGGCGATTGCAGCGCAGCACGGGGGAGCTCGACGTCCTACGGGAGCTCGGCCTGTAACAGGGTCGCAAATGGCTTCCTCGAGGAGGGGACCACCCGGCTGAGGCTGCAGGTAAACATGAGGTGGCCAAGTGGGGGGGCATTACAGGGCAGAGAAAGAGCAGCAGTACAGAGGCCACGGGACGAAAACGAGCGTGGCCCTGGCTGTGGATTAGAGGCCATGGGAGGGCTGGGGGCAGCGGCTCACGCCTGTGATCCCAGCACTCTCGGAGGCCGAGGCGGGCGGATCGCTTGAGATCAGGGGTTCGAGACCAGCCTGAGCAAGAGCAAGACCCCGTCTCTTTAAAAAAAAAAAACAGAGGCCATGGGAAGCAGTAAGAGATGAGAGCAGGCTGGAGACAAGCAGGGCCAGGGTCCAGACCAACCTCGTGGCCAACGAGAAATGCCGAAGGCTTCACGCAGGGGAGGGACCCTCAAACGCTGCGTGTGGGAAGGACCACCATGGACACCTCAGGGAGAACCAACTAAAGCGGGGCTGGAGCGAGAACTGGGAAGTCAGCGAGGAGGCCCCGGCAGAAGTCGGGGTGAGAGACGATGATGGCCTGGGCCGGGGGCAGCAGAAGGGGTGCAGGGGAGCAGACGGGCCGGGAGGCGGAGGGGGTGAGATCAGCCGACCGGACGCTGTGCTGCTGTGTGTTCTGGCAAGACGGCCGCACCCCCGGGACAGACGGCTTCCCTCACCCCACTCCGCGGACCCTTCCTGAGCGCCAGCTCCCGTCGGTCCCTCTCTGCTGACAGTGGCAGCCACAGCCAGACCCCATCCGAGCATCTGAGCCCCAGCGCTGGCCTGGCGCCCACAGAGAGGCTCTGGGCAGCTGTGCTCTGCCCTGGGGACAGACGGGGCTATTCCAAACACAAGCCAGGGACCCGCAGGCGGCTGCCAGGCATTCCCCACAGGCCAAGTTAAGCCCATTGGCCCTACTTCAAAGTCAGAAGAGCATGTGCCCCCGACAAGCTCCGGAAAGGAGAGGTCGGCTTGTCGTGGCCAGTACGTCTGGCTTCTGTTCAAAGGTGTTTTACCAACACTCCCCCCACCCCCGCCACACACACGGGTGCACACGTGTGTGCACAGAAATGCTCCCAGCATCTGGGACTGAAGGGCGGGTAGGAAATCTCTCAGGAAATCCTGGCACCACGCGGCTCCCTCACCTGGAAACCAGGAAAGTAGTTTTGTTCCCTGGAGGACTCTGGAGAGGACCCAGGGAGTGGACAAGGGGGTCCTAGCCCAGGCTCCGCACACTGGCCGGACCCTCCCTCAGCACAGCAGGGACACCAACGACTGACTCTGAGCTCTAGTGTCCTAGCACCTCAGGCCAAAGCTGCTCCAAGACGAGGTCCGGGGCCAGGACGGGAGGCTATCTCAGGCCTCTGCCCCGGCGCTGGGCCTCCTGGCCACCTCGGCCTCTACAACGCTACCAGGAGCAGAGCAACAGGGAACCCAGCTAAGTGCCCTCCCAGTCACACTGACGGAGCAGGGTGAGGACATGGCGGCAAGCAGTTCTTGGACAGATGTCAGATGGGAGCAAGGCTTTTACGAACCAGAAACAGAAGAATAATGTTATAACGTGACATACATAAGAAACCAACAGCCAACTGCACACTTAGCAATGAGACACCAGAGGAACTTCCAGGAAATTCAGGAACGAGACAAGGATGCCTATCGAGATGCTCGAGAAGTCTGGGCAGTTCGATAAAACAATAAAAACAAAGGCACTGTAAGTACTGGGAGGAGAAAACAAAATTTTCCTTATTTGCGGATGATGGTACTATCCAGGCAACCCAAGAGAAGTGGCTAAAGCCCAAAAAAGGAGTAAGTCAGTCCGACCCCGAGCTGTGACCTGTGCGAGTCTCAGCTTCCTCGCGGGTGAAATCAAGGTAGTGACATGGCCGCTTAGAAGAAACAATAGCAAACGTACGTTAAGCACTTAGAACCGGTCCTGTCACACTTACTAACTCAGTAAACATCAGCTATTACTATGAAATGTGTTTTAAATCAATAGCTTATCATACAAGAGTAAACTAACACGATAACATAACTAGTTAAAACACAACGAGGAGGAAGCAAAGCTGCAACACAGAAACTCCCTAGAAAAACCCTGAACGAGAAACGGGCGAGGCTGATAAGACAACTTTAAACGATAAGAATAAAGGCAGAACGAGAAGGCTGAGCACCGTGAAGACGGATGTTCTCCCCCAAGGCCACTGCGCCGTTTGCAGACCGACCCAGGGGCCACGCAGGACCCAGCTCCGCAGCCCCCGTCGAATCTCCCACAGACCCACCCCACACCCGTCCCCGGACCGGGCGAACTTCCCGCCATGGGCCTGCCCGGCTCCCGCGTGACCTTCTGTCACAGCACGCGGCCGTCCACACCGGGTGCCCCATTTTTCCTCCCCACGGGCCACGAGCCCACAGGGTCAGACCGAGTCTGCAGCAGACCCACAGTAGACACCGACAAAGGCCAGCCAGGTTTGCAGCCAGACCGCCCCGTGGCGCCAGGGACGGGAAAGGGGACCTGCCCCTTCAGTGCCCCGCGGAGGACCCACGAGACACCTACTTTGGGCTTTGCGATCTCCTTGATCCTCTCGATTTCCTCGTCAGACATGACGTCGTAGTACCTGACGATGTGTGGGCTGTCCCACTCGTCCTCCTCCTTGAAGGGGGCGATGAGCAGCTGCGGGGCCCCGTTGCCGTGGTGATACCTACAGAAGAGCCGCTTCTGCCTGCGGGGGGTCTGCGGAGCACAGGACAGCGGGCCTGAGCGGAGCACGCCCAACCCTCAGCCCCGTCCGCTGCGCAGATGCCAGGCCACCCCCACAGTCAGCAGCCGCTCCCCCGACCCGCCACGGGAGAACACAAAAGCCCTCAGCTCGACTGGCGTGAAACGACGCCCCACAAGCTATGCAGTTTCTCTTCTCCCCCAGGATCACGCCGCGTCCACAGTGGCAGAGGGTGACCCCTGACCTCCACAGGGGTCCCAGGAGGCTGAAGGCCGGGACAGGGGAGCAGCTCTCCCGGGTGGAGGAGCCAGCGGGGGCCAAGCAGATGTGGGCGTGGAAGAGGCTGGGAGCCGCCTTGCCCCTGTCCCTGCGGAGGGAGCACCGGGACCCCGTGGCCCCCAAGGCCAGTGATGCCCAGTGCCAGCCCCTACGCGCCGCGTCTGCGCCACACAGATTCGCTCTCCACGGGACGCTGCGACCCCCCTCAGGGCCACCGTTTTCTTCCCCACGGTGAGTTCAGGAAACGCTGGGCACGCCGGGGTCAGGAGAGGATGGAGACTCCTCCCGGGGCATCCCGTCCTGCACCTCAGACAGCCCCCGTCAGCCTCAGCAGATGCCACAGAACAGGGGAGACGCGGAGAAAGCACCCACAGACAGAAACGTCGGCCCCCAGACCGCAGCCCAGAGCCAGAGCCAGGCACCGTGACCCTCCCACGTCTCACCAGTTTGACGCCCTCCCCGCGACACAGGCTCTCGTACACCTCCCGCTCGGGCAGGTAGTCCACGGGCCTCTCGTAGACGCCTTCCAGGGCCGCGAGCTCAGCCTCTGTCTGATTTGATAGCGTTTTTTCTCTTTCTTCCTCCAACAGCCGTTCAAAGTACCGCAGATTCCCTCCAGCTCGTTCGTGGCTTGGGTCTAGAAAAAGCAAAGAACAGAAGGAAAAGGAAACCACAAACATCTGTTAGGTCATTTAGGGAAATTACTCTGCAAGCGGCTTCTGTCCCCGCAGCTCACTCGCAGGCTGCGCTCTGGCTCTCGCAGCACCTGGCCCGGGCGTGCTGGTCCCGGCACAGGTCTGAGAGCAGCCACCGCACCTGGGCAAAGGCCAAGGCCAGGACGCACGTGCGTGAGGAGCCAGTTGGCAGCTGGACCAGACCCGAAGTCAGTAAGGCCTTGGTCTCTGGCCAAGTGACAGGGAAAACTGACTCGGCCCAGGAGAGGAGTCAGGTGGTGGCCGAAAGAACACAGTTCCTCTGCTGTCTGCCCCCTCACCTCCCCCAGAGCCTCCTTACCCAGGGAGAGCAGGCGGCGGGTGAGCTCCAGGGCGCGGTGCAGGTCGCCCAGCTGGAAGACGGCGTAGCTGAGGTAGTCCAGCACCTGGGACTTGGCTGTGGCGGCCTCTTCCCCAGCGTCCAGCTGCTTCAGCACCTGCTCCATCCACAGCACCGTGTGGTAATAGTCCCCTTCGTTGTAGGCCGAGCGGCCCATCCCAAAGCAGTCGTCCACGCTCAGCACCGCCTCGTACTTGGTTCCTGCGGCAGGAGAGGCAAAGAGCCTCCGGGTGAGGGGGAGACTCTCCAAGGAAGAGTGGGCTGGGCTGCCGGACCGGGCATTATCCACGCAGAGCCCACGGGCGTTAGACCGCACACCCAAGGGCCCCTGGTACAGTGAGCATAGACGGACTGGCCCTGCCCCGACAGGTCACACCGATCTCCCAGCCTCAGACTCTCCTCCTCAGTGAGAAGGGGCCTTGCTGTGCGGGAGCCTGGGAAGCCCAAGGAGGGACGGTCCCGCGGGCCACAGAGGAGATGTCTGCTGGGCAGCCGCCGTACGAGTCTAGAGGATAGAGAAATTAGCTGAACATAAAAAAACAGAATTTAGGTGACAGCTAAGCCATGGATAAAGATAATCACTCACAGGAAGTTTGAGGAAAGAGTGGAGGAGGTGGCTGAGGCCGGAGCCCAGCAAGCACCTACCTAGAAGGCACAGAGAGCAGGAAGCACTGAGAAGGGGCAGAGACAGGAGAAACGGAGCGGGAGCAGCCCAGCCAGCGAGGCAAAGGTGTCCCTGCAGAGGGAGCGGGAGCGATGGGGAAGCCGAGTGCAGGGGTGAGGAGGCCGGGGAAGTGGGGTCGTGCAGGACCTTAAGGCCACACATGGCGAGAGTTTGGGTTTAGCCCTGGAAGGGAAGCACTGTGATCAGGAACTCATGTGAGCAACGTATGCTTAGACCACACGGAGCAGGGTCTTGTGAGATGAGCCGCAGGCACGAGACCAGTCCGGTATTTCAATAATCCAAACGAGAAAGAAGGGCTTGTGAGGCTGGAGCCGGGTAAGTGCAGAAGACGTGAGAGACGTAGAACCTGCAGGCCTACGATCCCGACTCGGGCAGCCGGCGGGTGGAGTTGCTTTTGGCTGAGGTGAGGGGAGAGGAGGACGGTACAGCAGTTCAAAAGGGGAAGAGGATTTCTGTTTGGGACACGTGCGGGGTGAGGAGTCCGCGGAACATCCCACAGGCATCTGCCTGCACTGTCGGAGGCTCAGGAGAAGCCCGGGCAGGAAACGCAGATCTGGACGTTGTCCACATACAGCTGCTAACTCAGGTAACAGCAACGGCTGGGCTCACCCGGGGAAGGTGCTCAGGGAGAACATGAGGTGACTCCCTCCTGTCCCTCACCCCCACTCAGGACTATCACGCGTCTGTTAACTGAGTGTGAAAGGTCAATGCCAGGGTGTGGCTCCCTCCTCCCACCAGCCGACCTCACAGCTACAGAGCGGACAGACCTTGCCGGTGCCCTGAGCTGCCTCCTCCCTCTGGCCTCACGGCCTGGCCTGGCCCGAGACCTGACCAAGGCAGGAATGGGAGAGGTCCAGACCCTCCTGTTGGCTCATCAGACTTCCCAGTGCCAAGGCCCCAGGCTTCATCCGACAACGAAGCACCTCTTTCTTCCCTACACCACGAGTCCCTCTGCTTGTATCTGCTCCAGCGTCCCCATAGGTGAGGTGGCATCCAAGGTCCAATGGAGTCTAAATGAATCCATGGCTTTACTGGTCTCTAAGAGCCCCCAAACTCAATATATATCCTTATAAACACTAACACTGGGGCAGGCAGCAGGAAAGGGGCCAGTTTAGAGAGAGAAAGGGGAAAAAATGACTAGAGAGGCCAACAGAGCAGCCGAGATCAGCATCAGAGAATTCAGGAGAGGGGGACACCAGGAAGAACGGGGCAATCGGCACGTCAGAGGCCTGAAACCCACCCACTGGCATCAACAGCTGAGCGGCCGCTGGTGGCCCTGCGAGAGCAAAAGCAGCGAACGGTGGGGAAAAGGCCAGACGCTGGGGGTGTGGGAGTAGGTGGGCAGCAGGGAAGTGCAAGGAACACAGATGACTCTACCCGGCATCCCAGCCGGGGAGGGTGAGGACACGGATCAGCAGCAAGACTCAGAAGAGCCTCGAATCCTGAGGGAGGCCTATCTGTACGACGCACAAGAACAGAGCCTGCGCGTGAGCTGAGGGAGAGCCCCGAGAGACGAGGCACGGACGGGAGCAGAGACTGCAACCGAGGGGACCCAGGGCAGTGGCGGGGAGTCCAGAGAGAGCAGCCGGGGACGAAAAGAAGATTGGGGGCAGAGGGGCAGGGGGCTCCTGGGCAGCAGCCTCAGCTTCCTCTGACTCGCAGGAGGAGAGGCCTCAGCCAAGACCGCTGGCAAGTGGAAGGAGGCGGCTGTCGTGGGAATGGAGGACCAGCACCAGCTGGGGACCCGTGGCAGGGTCACCACCAGAGGTGACGGCACACCTGAGGGCAAAGACCACGAGCGGGTGGTAGCTCTAGCCTGTGCGGCCACGGAAGGCGCACACGCTGGCCGGGCCAGGCCTGGAGTGCTGAGTTACCTGGAAGCTCCCCTCTGGAAATCGTGTCGGGGTCCAGCCTGTACGTGTCCTGAAGCCTCATCAGGGCCTTGGCGGCCCCCATCTCGTCCTCGTCCGTGGGGAAGAACTGCCGCTGCACTGAGAAGTTGGCGACAAAACCTTCCAAACGAGAGTGAGAACAGGTTACCCCGATCCAGGGCAGAATTCCACTAGGGGGTCTCTGGCTGGTGGCATCTCCCTGACCCTTCCCTCAAAGGCCGTTTTCCCTTCCACCAGGAAGTCCTCCCTGATGGCTCCAGCCACGGGGACGTCTTTCTTGCTCCTCGCTGTACCTACTGCCTGTGCTGCTCATTTGCAGCGTAACAGAAACAGCCCCCACATGGGTTAACATTTGGGAGTCTAGAAGTCTTGGCTCCGAAGCACTCAGGCAGACCTGGTGGAGACAGAAGGAGCAGAGGACAGAGAGGTAACTGAGAGGGAAACGAGAGAACTCAGGGAGGACTTGTCAGCCACCCAGTGGAAAGTGAGTCCCATGGGAAACTGCGACCCAGGATTACTGGATTACTTGCCAGGTAAGCCCAGACTTCCAGCCCACATCTCAGGCTGAGGAGTCTGAGGGACAAAGGCAATCAACTCGTGGAGCCCAGCTGGCCCACTCACTACTGACCACTGGCCCTTATCATCCAGAAAGGTGACAATGACAGTCCTGGAGGTGTATGGAACTGTCTTTACCCCTCAGACTGTCAGCTGAGGGACAACCCGGCCAGGCCAGGCGCCAAGGTGGGACTGTACCAGCCCCGCATGGTGCCGAGAGACCACAGCGGGCTTTGTTCTGCTCTGTAGGCTACTCGCACCACCCAGACCCGCAAGGAGTTCAGGGCACGAGCTTCCCAATCACGGCACTCAGACGGCAACCTGGAGCCTGGGAGAGCCCCGGACCACAGAAGTACTCCAAGGAGGCTTTTCTGGGACTCCAAGGCCTGGCTGTAAAGTAGTACGTGCACTCCCACAACGCCAGGACTCCAGCTGGGCACCAGGCCCTCCCCTGCTGGCGCGAGGCCTTTGATTCTGCCTGTGAGCTGAGGAGTAGGAGGGGCTCCAAGGCCATTCCTCCCCCAGCCTCCTCCCGAGAGCAGCAGTCCCCACACCACCTGCTCTCAGGACTTAGGCTCACACATCCACTGTTAGCTGTGCCTGGAGACCCAGGGACCAAGAAGCTGCAACCCTGTCTTCCTCATGGCTGCATGATCAGGGATTCTACAGAGTTTAAAACCTGGGAAACAGAAAACATGCCTCCAGGAAAAGCCACACTATCAGCATGCCCCATTCATTTTAGGAGCAAAAATTCAAAATCAGGGGTAAAAACAACCTATTGCTCTCCGGGCCTATCTCTTTCCAGGTAATTATAAGGTTTTCCAAAGAAACCACATGTTGATGGGGGGGGGGGTGTATGGGGTGAGGGAGGACAAGATCAGAGAGCGAGGTCATCTAGCCAGGCTCAGACTCCTGCTGCGCAGGCAGAACAGCCTGTTCTGAGCTACAGGCGCAGGCCGGGAAGCCAGGGTCTGGGAAAGGCTGCCGTGGTTTCTGGAGGCCGTGAGCTCACTGGGCACAGCTCCAGCCCGACTGAGCTCACCAACCCCTCCCCGGAGGCCACCCTGCCCCCAAGCCTAATCCAGTCTGGCCACATGGGCTAAAACGTCTCAGCCAGAGAGACAGCTAGTCTGAAGTTAATCAGCACTTGCAGCTCAGGGAAAAGAGGCAGTGAGCAGGCAGGCACGGTGGTGCACGCCTGTAGTCCCAGCCACTCAGGAGGCTGAGGCAGGAGGATCACTGGAGCCCAGGAGTTCCAGGCTGTGGTGCACTCTGCCTATGCACTGCACTCCAGCCTGGGCAACACAGCCAGACCCTGTCTCTTTAAAAAAAAAGAAAAAGAAAAAAAAAGAAATAGGCAGTGAGTCCAGGGGACTGAGCCTGGGCTGGCGGTCAGGAGGGTGCAGGTCCGGGCCACCCACCATCTCTTCTTGCTCACAGGAAAGTGGTAGAGCACAGGGAAGTACTAACACAGTAAAAGCACCACGCACAGTTAGAAGCTTTAACAAGTTCGTGTTCTGATCTCTAAACATCACTTCTAAGAATTTATCTTAAAAAAAGTAATCGAGAGGTATGCTCAAATAAATATGTAAAAGACTGCTGACAATTTAGAAAGGACACCCCGTCCAAGGACGTGACCAGTTTGACGGTACATCAGCATGACAGTTACTGCCCAGCCGTTAAAATCCCCTCGCGGAAGAACACTGACCCGCACGTGGAGAAGCTGGGAAATCCAGGAAAGGAATTTACGGTCATGTCACAAATCCTCCGACCGGTCATGCTCGTACAAGGCGTGAGCAGGAACAAGGTTAGATGAGGCCAAGGCAGCCCGGTTTTCCTGTTCCCACCCCCCGACCCGCTTGACTCATTTTTTATTAATTCATTTTCTCCCTTGAAGCAAATGAATTTGCACTCCCAGGCATCTATGTATGGTTCTATGTTTTAAAAAATTTATGCGCACATGTAGAAAAACTGTATTTAACAGTGCCTATGACCAGGCAATTGGATTAAGAACTGTAATTTTCTTATGTGATTGTTTTTGTGTTTTCCAAATTTTCTATAAAAACCTATATTGGTACAGTATAATTAGATGGTAGAGAGCAGTTGCTCACACCAGTAATCCTAGCACTTTGGGAGGCCAAGGCAGTAGGACTGCTTGAGGCCAGGAGTTTAAGACCAGCCTTAGCAAGAGCCCGTCTCTACCAAAAATATAAAAATTATCCAGGTGGGGTGGTGTGTGCCTGTAGTCCCAGCTACTCGGGAGGCTGAGGCAGGAGGATCGCTTGAGCCCAGGAGTCTGAGGTTGCCGTGAGCTATGATGATGCAACTGCACTCTACCCAGGTAAGAGAATGAGACCCTGCCTCAAAACGACAAGAGACAAGGACAGCCAACTGCCAGATGCCCACAGAGAAGGGAGAGTCCCATGGGACCAGCAGGGCCCATGTTCACACAATGCACCTGCCACCAACACGCAGACCCAAGACAGGCTCAGACACACCCACCAGGCATGAGCACCTGCTCACCATCCCTCACCTGCAGCCGCGTCCTGCAGCACAAGGTCTTCCAGCGCAGGCCAGTCTGTGTTCAGCCGCTTCACCAGTTTGTAGGCATTCACGGGGTGGGCCAGGTAGCCCTCAGGGTCAGCAGCCGACTTGCTGGTCAGGGCTTCCATTTTGTTGGCCCAGCTGCGGAACCAGAGGAAAAGGGAAACTAATGTGTCCACCCTACACAGGACCTGAACAGTGGTAATTTCTCCGGTGGGATCCAGGGCCCTTTCCATCAAGAGGAAATAAAAAATGAATACAGTAACTCCCAGACACTTCTAGCCCCTTAATCTACATAAGAGCTGGGAACTCCAATTTAAGCAAAAAGGTCTTAAATAGGAAAAAAATAGCAGTGGCTCCTTAGCCATGCACTCTGCTACTCCGGAGGACTGGCATGAAGTCAGCTCCAGGCCAGCCCCACGTCACCCTCGCGGGGGCTTCCTCCTACAGGCATCCTGACTCAGGGTGTGCAGGGCCTCAGGACACTAGATACCTCTTAATCTTGGCGAGCTTGGCCTCCTCCACGAGGATGTACTCCTTCAGAGACTGCACCAGGTCCTTCTCTGCGTAAATCAGGTCAGTCATGTGCCCTGCAAGGCAGAGGAGAAAGAGCCAGCGAGAAATGGATGGGGGACGTCCAGCCCCCTGGGGACACAGAACACCGGCACAGAAGCAAGTCCCCTAGGCGAGGGGCA